CACACACACACACACACACACACACACACACACAGTAGACACTACAAAAACATATTTGAACTAAATTTAGAATGCAGTTGACTCAGAAACATTTTCAACTGCTGATTTTTTAATTCAGATGAATATTTAATTTTGAATTTTATTTTTATCTCAAAAAAATTGCCGAGCTCTAGACTTTGGTGACCTCATACAACAATGATTAAGGTACTTAATGACTGAGGTTCTTCGTTACATAGCTGTAAATGTGTGCGGTTTAGTTTCCATAGAGAAATGTGAGTGTTTCACGTGCTCTGCCTTCACTGCATTTCATGCTGTTGAAGCTTGTGCATTGAGTAAAGCCAGCAGGCACTGTCACTGCAGATTGGGTATTAAAAATATCCAATTTTAAAAAGACGAAACAGTGCGATTGTGTTGACATAGGGGATGGGAGAGTCGCCGTTGTTTGTGTTCATTTCATTAAAAGATACAAATATGGAAAGGAAAGGTCGCATCTATTTAAATGAATCACACTGAGATTAGACATGTAAGAGAGAAATTCACAATCATCATGAAAAGTGACATTATAGTAATTAAAGTGGTCATGAAATATTGGATGTAGTTAGCATAATTTAAAACTAACTACATCCAGTGTTTCATGTCTACTTGGACCAAAGCTGTAACAACTGTACCCACAATGTCAAACATGTTCCCTAGAATGAGCACCAAGGCAGTCTGAGAAAAAAACTAGCAACATGCTGTACTGTTGGCAATTTCTCGTTTTACGCTCTAAGACAAAAAAGGGTTGTTTTTGTATGATTTATTCGGTACAATTAGATTTCAGTTTGCAGTCCATTCAATTTCTTGCCTTTTAATGTTCTGAATCAGTCTAAGGCAGGGGTCACCAACTCCGGTCCTGNCCTGTTGATTCACCCTAAATGCTAAAAAAACATATTTCAGTGTAATTTTTTGGGGCCGGGAACCAATTCATTGGTTTTACATTATTTCTTATGGGGAAAATTCGATCAGAACTCGAACTTTTTAGGATTGGATCCGGAGTTCTGAACAGATTAAGTTCGAGTTCTGAGGTACCATTGTATAAGCAAAACTGAAACCAAATAGGATGCGAAGAGAGCAAACCTAAGACAGAAAAACTAACAACTAATAAAACACTGGGAAACAGAAAAGCAAATAAGGTATTAAACGGATGAGGTTGGTTTGTAACCAGCCTCAAACCCATGACAGGAGAGTTATAGCTTCTGTGCTATATGCTCAGCTCATTGAGCCATTCAGCAGTCCAGGGAGCAGGGAAAACACAAAAGGAACAGGGTGGCCAATGGGGGAAGAGACATGAAGGGCAGGGCTGGATAGGTGTAGTCCCTGACAGTGATCATTGTATGACCTACCAAATAATACTACCTGCGCACCCTCCCTCACAATGCTGCATGATTACACGCATACCATGTGAATTCGGACTTCTTTCAGTGAAGTGCATGTGTGCAGTTCACGAGTTACAGGTCCTGTCTCATGCTGATACTGAATGTTCTAGCTCTCGCTCTCTCTCTCTCTCTCTCTCTCTCTGTCTCTCTCTCTCTCTCTCTCTCTCTCACACACACACACACACACACACACACACACACACACAGTAGACACTACAAAAACATATTTGAACTAAATTTAGAATGCAGTTGACT